TTATTAGAACCTAAGGAGAAAAGCCATGTTTTTAAACAATTACTAAAGCAGTGTAGTAATAGCGTAAAGACAATTTCTGCACCAGCTTGTTTCTCTGAAATTCTCTCTGCCACTGAACAGCTAGAACAGATAATAACTATTAGTAAATCAAACTCCTCTGCAATATCCAGCTGTGCCTCACGCATTTACATACAGATAGAATGGGTATATGTTTTTAATATGTATGTGATACGTACTTTTACCACAGCCAAAGTGCATGCTACAAAGGCGGAGGAGAATGGGAATCGGATCAGCATGAGATAATAAAGTGGCCTAGATAAAGTATTAGCCAGCGATTGATCTCAAACCGGGTGCTGCTTCTTCTGACCTGATTACTTACTATGCATAGATTCCATTAAATAGAGCTTAGACATGGAAAGCTTCTGGAAATACTTTAAATGCATAGAAGGATCTATAGTATTCTGAACCCCAATTGTAACTGCAGAGGTGTCCACGGCCCACACCCTCCCTGCTCAAGTCAAGGCCCATAGTCAGGATGGGCTGGGAGGTTAAAGGGCCCCTGGCAGCTGGTGGGAAGCACTGCCAAGTCCCACAGAGCAGGCCTTCCCCTTCCCTCCCCCACGCCAAGCGAGTCCCCTCCCACTGAACGCGTGTCTCCAGAGCTGCCTGTCTGGTCCTAACCACACAACTCTAACTAACAGAATGGGAAGGTACCGAGGAAGCTTAACAATCAGTCAGGGTCATGGTCCCCTTTGGAAAACTGACAGCCATGAATCCGTCTTTTCAGAAAAAATGCAAATTTCCACATGCGTGCAGAATTTGGGATGTACTTTCAGGGGCTCTAGCAGACTTCCTGAAGCCACAGACACTAGGCCAAGGACTGCGCGGATCTAGTCCATCTCTCTGTTTTGCACAGGGAGACACTGCAGTGGGAGGGAACTGGGAGTTGCTAAGGGACGTGTGGAGGCTTTCCCTGCTAGGTCACAGCCTGACCCTAACGGAAGATTAATTCTGCAGAAGGGGCTCTGTGGTTTACACAGGCAAATGGTCTATACTGTAACGTTTCTCATCCTGTCCCTTTTACTTAAAAATATTTAAACATATACTTTGAATTCCAAAACCAGACTTGAACCTCTCCCCAATGCTCCCACCTAGGCTGTCACTGTCCCTGAGTTTAAGAGTCTGACTTTTAATTTTTTGCTTCCCTCAGCCTCATTATAGACATTTTGGGAGAATTTCTCTGCCACCTTTGCCATATCACCCTCCCCTCTCGCTGCAGTCTCACCAATCCTCTCTGACTGACAGGGGCTGTTTTTTTGTTTTCTTTTTCTTCACAGGAGCGGAGACACCCCTGCTTAGCTGTCTGGAGCCTGCCGAGCACTCTGTCTGCCGCCTTCACAGAGTGGCTCCGGCCTGAACGCTTTGTCCCAGTCTGTGTCCGGCCGGGGCTGCAGAGCGGGGGGCGGTGCTGACATAGGTCTTTCCTGCGATGTGCCTCAGGGTGATGATCTGAAAGTGGGTTCCTTCAAAATGGCATCCATCTCTCAGGGGCAGACAGAGGGAATGTGAGGGTTCCCGTCTGGTTGTGCCAGCATGCCAAGTGTCCTTCCTTTGCTAGGTTTAAAGGTTATTTGTGCAATAGCTCTTAAAGAATTGAAGGAAGGTCAGATCTTTCTAAGGAGGAAGGACTGCCCTACACTTGAATGGGAGTCTACTCAAGGGAATTCACTCGTGGAAAAAGGTATGTTGTGGGTGGTTGTACTGCTTCTGTGTCAGGTCAAAGTTTTCAGACCTGGACACTAGGATTCCTTCTGTAAGAAATGGAATTTTCTGAACAGAGTGCCTAGCTGGGGGTGAATCCGTTGCCTATCAGAACTCTAACTTTGTGGGTGTGGGACTCCAGGAGGCCAATGTTGGAAGGATTTCTGGTCCAGCAGACAGCAGAGGTTTCTCATTGCTCTGAAGGTCTGGAGGCTCCTTCACACGCATGCTTTGCCGGGCGTGTCCCCTTGAAAACTCTACTAAAATTCAATCCATCCTGCAAAGGCCCTTTTCAAATGCTTCCTTCCCCACATTGCTTTCCCCCGTTTCCCCAGATGGACCCCCACAGCACGCTGCAGTTTGTCAGAGCAGTTACTGTACTGAGTTATCTGTATCTCCTGTGAGACTGCATGCGCATGGCTTACCCTTGGTATCTTCTGCTGGGTCTGGCATGTGACTTTGCACATAATGGTGTGTAAACAGCTGCTGAATTCATTAGTTTACCTGGTTCTGAGATATCTCAAGATGATGTGGATCCTAGTGATAAAACTTCTCAGTAAATTCTTTATGTAGCTTAATCTTAATGGCTCTGCCAGAAAAGTGCACCAGCTCACACGGACCCTTGCCTCCCCAAAATGTAAGTGTGGAGGAAATTTCTTGATCCAGTGTTAAAATACTTCCACTTACAATATAAAAACTGATAATCATCTTAGGAACAACCACACCATATAGACAAAATTACACCCCTAAACAACTAAATTAGTTCTAACACTGGGATTTTAATGGCCTCAAGGGGCTAAACTTGAGTTGTACATTTTCTCTTTAAGACTGACATGGTCAAAAACTGCAAACACGATGATTTTAAATCTTGGGTATTCTGGATATGAGGTGATCCCACCAAATCAAATGACAAAAACTGCTTGAGTGCCCACTGTGCACATACACAGTGCACAGCCCCCGCAGTCTGATTTGCTGAGGCCGGGACTGGCTACATTCACCGGTGGTCAGGGTCGCGCCAGAGTTCTTATAAAAGCTCCCTGATGGTGAATCTCTAATTCTCTGCATTTCCCCCTGACCCACCTGAGTTTCCTCCTTTGATTTGGAAAATGCAGGCCCACAGGGAGACCTCAACAATCCTGCAGGTCTCACAGCTGATGCGGCCCAAGCTGTGCAGACCACATTGGTACCCTGCTGCCTGGAGTTACTGTGCTTGGGAGATAAACTGCTCTTTTTGTGAAAGGCAGGCCCCCACCCACGGTGACAAATGGGCTCTCCAGTTCATGCATTCCAGAGGATGCTCTCGGCTTCCAGATGGGAGCACCATCAAATAGGTTGCAGGCAGAGAGGGGAAAGGAAAAATTAAAGCCATTAATATGCTAGGAGGAATAAAAAGACTGGCTCCTTCAGATTGGGACCCTAGGATGCGACTCAGGCTCCTTAAGCCAGGGACAATCCACTTTCTTTCCCATCCCCCGTGAGCCCACTATTTTGGCCAAAGGCAGGCAGGGCGCAACCTCCTTGACCACAGGAGCCTCACACATACTCGTTGCTCCCTGCGTCCTCACTGAGCCCTTCCTGAGCCAGGGGGGACCTCGCTACTGCCATACCTGAGGGAATCCGTTTATTTAAATCAAACTGTGAGCAGCACTAGAAATAATGTTAAATTAAGTAGAGGATGGTGCTTTCTGTGACTAAATTTTCATTCTGTTTTATTGATTTATTGATACTTATTAATTAAAAATGTGGACAGCACACACCAGGGTATATAGTTGTAAAGAGATATATTGAAATACATATCCCTTGTCTCTTTCTCTACACACATGCACACACATACACAAACACACATTTGCTTAAGGCACTGGAAATATCCACCCTAACCTTATCTTTATGACTTGCCACCTCAGAATAGTGTTCCTTACCAGTACATATGCCCGTATATACTATCTGCAGATGTTTTATTTATAAGTGGCCAACTCAGCGCAGTACTGAATCACGTATCTACAAACATATCTATTTTATGAAACCCTATTCCTTTGTTTTAATAGCTGAGCTATCCAGCCATATCATCATAATGTACAAGGTAAATGGGTCTCCATCTCTAGAACCTGTTCCAAGTTTTCTCAGATGTGACTAACTGCAAGGATTTCCCAGCCATCAAAGAGACACCCCCCACCCCCACCAAGACCAGTTTATTCTAGACACGAAACCTGTACAACTACAAAGCACAGAGGTTTTAGGGGTGAACTTTCTTTAACTTGAAACTACCCTGAAAAATGAAATTTTGCTCCAGGGGTAATAGGAAGGAGAAAACTACCTTCCTGGAAAGCACTCATGACAAAAAAGACACAGGCTATTATTTTATTTTGGGGATAACATCTGCATATATAGAAGATTGCATGCTTAGGTGTTCATTCGGATGACCTACAAAAGAGGAAAACCTCTGAACCGGTAACTATAAAATGCTTATTATTTAAAGTGGTGAAAGAACGTTGGTTGGAATTTGCTCTGACTGTGATAATCTAAGACAGGGAATGGTACGCAAAACATTAGAAAGAGTAGACTATAATTATTATTTACTAATGTTCGAGTCTAACGTTATTTCAACAGCTTGTGCATTGTCAAATCAACAATCTGCACTAAACAAATGACCATTTGGGAATTGTTAGGAGCATCTCTGTTCCCCTCCCTGCTTGACTAAAAACTGTCATTTGCAATCAAAGACAGCGGCCTTGGAGCTGAGAACACAGCACCAGTAGCCCTGTAGTTGTCTCTTTCTGAGGAAAGACCAAAGATTCACATTAGCTTGATCTTTTGCAGCCCATCTCATTTCATTCTACAAGAATCCAAGAGGACTCCATGCCACATTCAGAATTTCCCGGAGGGTTGCACTAAAAACTTAACATGCTGACTCTCTTCTCTGAGACCAATCTTCTGAATGCCGAGAGGCTGTAATGGCAAACGAGGACAAGGCGTAGCCTAGATTAACCTATGACCCTTGAGTGGGAGGCAAAGGAAAAGAACTCTGCATGAAGTTTCAAAATGGTGGTGGGTTTTTAAAAAGTAAAAACTACTATGTGAGGAACTGAGCTTCAAATACACCTACCCGGTTAAGTAAATACTGTTGCATCTCCAGAACCTGTGGATATTTAAAATTCCATCCTGGTCCTTTTAACAGAATGTTAAGTATAAATATATAAATGGAGAATTCTAATGTAAAATAACTTAAAAAATTTACTTACCATCAGTTCCTCAGGTGCTGGCCTTTCTTTTGGCTGTTTTCGCATGCTGTAAGAGAAAAAAAAAAAGCCTATGATCTCTGTCACTTCTAAATCTGTGCTATAATTTCCATCATTGACTACTTCCCGGGGAACTGGGATGTTATTAAAATTCGTCATGTTCAATTCTTGGCCAAAGTACAGGCACATCTCATTTTAATGTGCTTCGCTTTATTGCGTTCCACAGATGTTGCATTTTTTACAACCTGAAGGTAAGACCCTCTACCAGCAAAAAGATTACGACTTGCTTTATTGTGATATTTGCTTTATTATGGTGGTCTGGAACCAAACCTGCAATATCTCTGGGGTATGCCTGTATTAGCATGTATTCCCTTTTTTTACTTTGGTCTTTAATATGATTTTGGGGGATATCAAGAATCAGAAATACAGAATTTTTTTTTTTGGAATTACTCTTGCAATATAGATAAAGAATGAATTTAAATTTATCCTACTTCTACTTTCGGAACTAATGTGAAAAAAAGCAGCAATATTGTCTTCCTGATACAGTTGTCAATTTAGTTCAAACTTAAATGTAGGGAACAATATACTTCTTTTTTGGTAATTGGGGTAAGACAATAAAAGAAACATGAACATGACTGATGGAATGAAAAAACACCTCATTCCATCATTGTTAGTCCAAATAACACTATATAAAACAGGTCAGGAATCTATATAATGCTACACAATTACAAATGGGTTATTATTCCATTATCTCAACTTTCATTTATTTTGGATACAAATGCAAGTTGACAATTCATTAAACAGCTGTGGGAAAGTTAAATTTGTTTAAACTGCTTAAGGAATCACATTTCTCATGCAAAATATTTCTTGTCTTACATGCAATAGGTATAATTAGTACCTGTAGCATGTACTTAGCTACGTGACGAAACCCCCACACGAGACTGACATGACTATTTGTACAAAACCCAGTAGGTCTGTGGGGTGAAGTCACGAAGAAAGATTGCCGTTTCTGCTGGACAATCACACAGATGGTTTTTCTTTATATAAGGCAACCTCTGACCTTCATACAATCTTTGCATTTGCTGATAGTTATTTTTTTTTAAGTAGAGCGACTTAATGATCATTTGGTTAACAAGAACGCTAGTTATGAACCATAAATGGCATCAAGGACATTCACCTTCCCTCTAAATAACCATATGCACCTCTCAAATACTGCATGCATTAGCAAGTAATTCAAGCTGTCTCTCCAGTGGAGTTGGTAACAGTCCTAATCTGACATTCCAAAGTAGCTGTATCTCTTGGGAAAACAAGGCTATTACCCACTATCATTTCTGTTTCGCCTTGACATCTGTGGAAATTTCAACACAGGTTATTCCTCCCTCTGTCTCCATAAAACTTTTATATAACAGCTGATTAATTTTTGGGACAGGAGGAAGGCAAAACCTTATCTGCGTTTTTCCCTGCCTGCCCAGAACTGGCCCCGCCCCCAGGCTGGGCTCAGACCACACAGTGAGATGGCGATGAGCGTGGTCTTCCCGTCACAAATCCAACAGCTCTGGAGCCAGCGGTGCCCAAACCAGGCGCTCCAGGCAGTTTAGGAATCGCACCGTTTGTTTTTCAATTTCTGCATTTCAATATGGGGCATTCCCATGATGTGCTTTTGAGTGTTTCTAGGAATTCCATGCAAGGGAAATTAAGAAAGATTAATATGTATTTCTGAATACTGGCTCTAATATTAATAAACTCAGGATTCCAATGTTTACCCAACATGTATCTGTTTCCCAATGTGGCATGATTTGGAGAAACAATGTCTATAGAATAAAAACAGTTTTTAAAAGTTACAGAATATTATATATTTTAAATAAATAAAAACAGTGTTAATAAAATTTTAAAAGTCAGGGGAAAAAAATCTCTGCATACTTTTCTATGGAATATAAACTGTATGAGACATTTTTATTAAGAGGTAACATATTACACTTAGTCAAAAAGGTGATAAAGCTTGACATTTATATTAAGGAATATTTCTTGGTTTCACTTTAGCGTAATCATCAGATGGATCATGGGGGAGGGGATGGGGACAGAGTGTACAATCATTTCAGTTTAGCACCATTTTGTGGCACCACAGGAACGGAGGGTTCGTTTTCCACCAGTGGACACGACTCTGAAGGGGCGCTGAAACAAGGAATTCGGTGAAGGGGGAAAAGAGAAGTGAAGGTAGCTAGGAAGGAGCTCCAGCATGTCCAGGTCACTTTCTGGCCGGTCCTGGCTCCTGCCCTGGGTGGGCACCCCTCTCTCTGCTCCCGATTCCTTCTCTCCCCGTGCTGGGGTGAGGGAGAGGGCACAAGGAGCGCAGTGGAGCAGCTGGGCCTTCCAAGGCCACATAAGTGCTGCCGAACGAACAGGGGAGAGGTGGATGATGTGAAGGGCTAATAAAAGGAAAAGTCATTCTACTGGGAGGAAAAAGGCAGAAGGCTGGAAAAGGACCCTTGGCAGAAAAATGCCTGTTTCCCTCAGGTGTAAAATGACAAGGGGCTGCCTAGAGACTGAGTGCCCCTTTGATCTAAATCCTGTGGTTCTTCTCCGTTCCTTAATGGTTAAAGTGGACCTAATAGAACCATGTTTTCATGGTCTTTCAAACATCAAAATTCATTGAAATGGGACATCAGTATTGCATTTAAAATATAACCAAAGATAAAAGTTATTTACTGAAAATCCAATAAATTAATAAACTATGCTGCTTCCACTTAGTGACAGACAGTTTTATGGGCAACTTGAGGTTACATTAATAAAAATAAGCTTCACATATCTGTTCAATGGGGGCTATAAAATTGTGTATTTCTTAAAAAAATAAAAATGGATACGAACAGTATCTGTACTCAAAGGAGTAGCCTGATTCTCAGTTTATTAAAACAGAAAAAGCCTCTAAAGTACAACCCTTTGTGTAAATAACGTTTACATAATTTAAACAATTTCTTCAGCTTTGCTGCCCCATCTGCCCAAGGCCCCGAAGTCCCTCCCATCTCCAAAAGGAAGCAGGGAGAGCCATAAGGTCTCACGGAGCCTCCGAGTTAATGGCATGTATCATTTACATTGAGGGCATGGCATGTTTGCAAACAGGCTCACCACTGAGTGATGAAATGTACAAATGGCTCGGAGAACTCTCCAACCGGAAGGACGGGCGAATCCTGGGATGGAGGAAAAACAAGTCACCAAAAGTCACAACAATTCCTTTTCTTTCTTTATACCCTTCCTCCCCCCACCAAAGTAACCGTATAAAGATGAACATATAACAAAAATTCACCAGCTGGTGGAAAGAAAAATAAGGTCTTATCCAATTAAAAAGCCTGTCTATACCCTCTTCCACATGCTTAAGTAAAATGCCAAATTTAGAGCCCCACACATTTTACAGTGGTGAGAAACAGGAGAACAAAGAGGGAGGGAAGGTGAAAAAAGGACAATGATAGCCACAGGGTAGGAAAGAAGGTACGAAAGTGTAAATGAGAAATTAATGATTATTTAAGTAACACACAAATGGTCTTGTAATTAACAAAGAGCTGTTAAATTATTCTTGTGTTGACCTTTGTTTCTTTTACTGGATTTGCTATTTATTTACACTTTCCTTTTTATTTACATTTATTTATATATTCAACTGCTCTTTACTGTTTTCCCAAACAGAATCGTTTGGGCCAGATTTTTTTTTTCTTACTTTAATAGAAAGGCTTTTAGGGAAAGCTGCTTCCTGAAAAAGTATTTCAGCTTACTTGCAGGTCTAGGCAAACTTGTCATATGAGGAAGTCAGTGCATTAAGGACATAATGAAAAACTCCCACCTTGACCACGAAACAGAACTAGGGTGGAAGTGGCGTCACTCTAAAGAGCAGAAAACTACACAGCAGCAAATGCTCGACAACAACTGCGTAATACAGGGAGCAAACACCATTACCATTTGCAAAGGAAGGCTTTAAGAATTTAGGAGTTTTTTCAAGAATGACAGAGAGCGCCACTGTGTTTATAGTGTAACGGCTCAGGATGTAATGAAATTACACTGCAGAGTACTTTAACAGTCATCTCATTAGACCTACAGTTGGAACAAGAGAGCCACATAAAGTAGGCAGCTGCAAATGACTCCATTCTCATCTATTCTCATTTGCTATTAAAAATACCTTTCGGCGGCTTTTTTCCTCCCTGACATCCCTACACAAAGTGCCCTGCAAAGTATGATACATGCACCTATTTAAATTAACAAAGGAATGACTTATTTTAATCTCACTGTGCTTTGGAGTGCTTTGGCCATTTGGATGAGCAATATATCATTACATACAACCTTCCAGCGCTGCAGGCAAGAAACTCAGAGCATGCAGCATTTGGTGGGAGCCAAACAATTTCTCTAGCACACAACTGTGTCAAATGCATGCATGTATTCATTATTGAGAACGAGAGGAAATGGCTTTGATGTAGTGGAAAAAAGAAGATGATAAAAGCACCTCTGCAATATGCGTGTCATTATCAATGGTGGCAGATAGATACAATCGTACAGCCCCCTATGTGATTAGTAAATATACATATAATTGCTGTGGCCAATTATCAGAAAAATGAGATCGGTAATTACAAGACAGAAAATTAACTAGAACTCTTATTAAGGCTTTGTTTCCAATTCAAAGAATTGGAAACTGCTGGAAAATACAACTGAATCAAAAGGAACTGAGTGGGTCAAAGCAGCCAAAAAAAAAAAAAAAAAAAAAAAAATCCCTAAGAGGTAAAAAGAAAAAGAAATGTGAACAAAATGTTTCTTAGCTTCTGCCTATCTGTCCTCTTTGAATGTACTCTATTCACACAGAGGAGGGGAAGGTTAGTAATTGTAAACTTAAAATTCTCATCAGTAGAGAAAGGCTTGTAAGAGGAAAGGACAACAAAGGAAAATGGGAGTGAAATAAAATCTTGCCAAGTTCAAAGGATTACATGCAGCATTACATAGAGAGGATATGAAAAACGGGGGGCTGACGAACTCATCTGCTCAAAAAAGAAAAACAAGACGCGCAATAACATGACAAGTCTTTGCTAAAGGTACTATAAAATGGTCACAGAAGTCCCATTGGTTTGAAGAGCAAAAATAAAACATACCAATTTCAACCCAGCCCGTTTTAGGAAAGCCATCTGTATTACCAAGCCTGCAAGATTCTACAAGGCCCACTTCAAGGAATGACATTTTACTGTCTGAAACAAAACTGTTTGTAAAAGGAGAGGTCAAAATCTAAGTTATAAAAATTATGGACTCTGATCAGGTTGTTAAGTTTTCTAAGTCATTTGTTCCTGAAATTTTTTTGGAGGCTGTAGTACTGCAAGTGTCTGAGTAACAGCTGCTTTAAAATGCGATGTTTAGGAAAATGAAAGCCTACTGTCTTAATGTGGCTGAATATTTACCAAGATGGTTAAAATTCTGGACTGGTTTTCTACAAAGATCCTGGTCTAAAACATGATGCTAATGTGGGCCTCATTTCAAAGTATGATACCAAGAGTAAATTAATGAATTATAGACTAGACAACTTGATGAAGATGTCATTTTAACACGGATGAGAAACAAAACGAGGAAACGTGACATCTTTGCATGGATAGTTAATTTTATTTAAGACCTGATATTGTAGCCTGTTAAGTTCCTCATAACATAAAACTAAGGAACACTGGGTGGTACCCATGAATAATTTATTTCACTTGTGAAAATGCCAGCCCAAGTCGACTTTGCAGAACCAGAGTGGATTCTCATCTCAGGGGTGCCTGGAAAGAATCACTCATTGAAGATATGGGGCGGGGGGAGGGAGAGGCGGGATTCTAACCTCACATGCATAATGCCAGATACTTTTCATTTTCAAGTCCATGTCTCTTGCATACCCTCAAAGGAGAATTTTCTGAGATGGCGAAGACTGACATGGGGTGGTGGCGGTGAGGGCCACACAGAAACACGGGACAAGGGGGTCCTCTTGAGAGTCCCCAACACCACAGAAGCACGTGGGCTCACACTCCAGAGGAAGGAAAATGAATAGACCTGACAGTGTACACAACACTGGAGGATTTTGAAGTATACTCTTTTCATTTTTAAGCAAGTAAAAAACCTCCAAGAACCTGCTTGTTCCATTTTGTACTTCAAATCTGTTTGAAGGAGGGAGGGAGGCTCATTGGGAAGCTGCTCCAGTTTCACTGAAGCTTCCAGCCAGGCAAAGCACCCGGTCCCCATAGGGTGAGGAGAGTCTGAGAACCACACCACAGGGCTCAGCGGGGCCAGTATGCTGGTTGCTGCTACTTATCAAAACTGTTCTCTGTGAAGTATGGGTTCAGGCCAGATGAAGAAATATATTTCAAAAATAAAAACAAATTGGAGAAGCAGTTACACTAATAACTCTCAGGACTGGCTAAAACTGACACTAAATTGTTAATAAAAGTCACTCACTTTAAGACCACGGGTGCCATACTTCACCTTAAGGACTTTTTTGGGGATGGGCTTCTACGCATGGAGGTATGGAATGAGACAGTGTACACAACCTTAACCAAAAGCTTTAACCTGACACTCCAGTCCCAAATCAACTTTAGAGTCCTGCAGGCTAAAGGGATACGAGCTGGATCTTGTTATGGGAAGGCGACTGTTACATAAAAACGGCTGCCATAAACCCTTTCAGTAAGCAATTCTGGCCATCAAGGAGGGCCGTTTCCAAGTCTCTGAGGTTTCAGTAACTACCTGGTCAGCCCCTTTTGCTAAACAACAGGAGCACAAGCAGGCGGCATGCTAGAGAGCAGCGAAGGACAATGGGAAAAAAGTTTGAGTGATGCCTTTGCCTTGTGAATAATGAACAGTTCAGGAAGGTCAACCCATTACAACTGAAACTGTTTAATTATTAATTATGCACAATCTATGAGCAAAAGGACAAGTTCAGAATGTTTAATGTATGCTAACTTCAACTGGACTCTCTCTGGGTATTTTGTTATTAGCACTTGTCAGCAAGGTACTCAGGCATAAAAAAAAAAGCCAGCAGCAGGAAATCCGAGTGTGTGTGTGTACATGGGTACCTGTACACTCAAAGAGGGGGGAGGGAGAAGGAGGTCCGATTCCAACCACAGCTGCTACGAGTTCACCTGCACAGCAAGTTTGCCTGTAAGTACACCTTGTGACCTCGAGAGCAGGCAGGCACGTTGAATACTCCAAATATAGAAAACATAAATAAGAAAAATGCTTTTGAAATGACTTACTTAAAGGGGAGAGCATTATTTTAAAGGCACAGGTTTTTTTTTGAAACTATGATAATTCTTGGCTTTGAAAGGCCCCCCCATGTCATTTTACACACATAGGTATAATATGAATTAAATCAGTGGATTGAGTCAATGTCAATTTCCTGGTTGTGATACAGTACTATACTCATGAACTGATTACCATTGGAGGAGACTGGGCGAAGGCTATGCAGGAGTTCTTTGTATTGCTTCTTACAACTACATGTGAATCTAAAAAAGATGCCAAAACAGAAAGTTTAAAAAGAAAAAGGTTGCCCTGGCTGGCGTGGGTCAGTGGATTGAGTGCCAGCCTGTGAAACAAAGGGTCCCCAGTTCGATTCCCAGTCAGGGCGCATGCCTGGGTTGCGGGCCAGGTCCCCAGTAAGGGGGGTGCGTGAGAGGCAACCACACATTGATGTTTCTCTCCCTCTCTTTCTCCCTCCCTTCTCCCTCTCTAAAAATAAATAAAGAAAATCTTTATAAAAAGAAAAAAGGTTAGGAAATAGTTTTAAAACCCCTAATGAGCTCCAGATTCTTAGAGGAGCTCAGCTATATAACAAAGAAACTTGGCATAATTAGTCAAGTGGAAAAATGTTAAGGTTAAGGGACTTTTGCTTAAAAAAAATACCGGAGCTTAAAAAACAATGGAACTTGACACTGACGTGGAGGTCAGTTCCCATCCTGATAGGGCACACACAGGGAACTGTGTAAAAGTGATACAATCATTCATTACTCAATTTATTCATTCTTAGAACAATTTTCTTGACTACCTACCATGTGAAAGGCACTAAACCTGGCATTGTGGGATGACTGATACTTAATCCATATCCTCAGAGAGTTTGTGTATTGTTCAGAGGATAAGACATGTATTCCTAGTAAACAGCCCTGCAACATGGAGGAAATGGCCAAGCTGGGCCCTCCGGCTGTGCTGG